TATGGTGCTAGAGAGTCATCCCACATATCAATGTTGAACTTAGATGACTTATTATAGCTGATCTTTTAGCAGCTGGAGGTATTGTTTGTTTGTGCATCATCAGCGAGAAGCAGCTGGTTTTTTGTTTTCTCCAGCTCAGGTTGAACAAAGACTGGTTTAACTGACAACCAAATCACCTGTCAGATCCCTTGTCTAACTTTGGAGGTATATAATGCTTTATTACTTCCCCTTAGGATGAGTTTCCAACTGCCATCCTTCTATAAGATTATGGCAGAAAAGGGAATAATTTGGCTTTCTTGCTGATACTTTACCCACAGACCATAGCAACACAGATTCCATCCATCCATTGACTTCATCCTTTCCAAAATTAGGTTGCATGCCTAACAGGTGCAAGATGGAAGACAATACATTCCTGTTCCAAGTGACTCCTCAGAACTGATTTTGAGGGATCTCAGGAAACTCCCTGCCTGGAGGGGAAAAACAGCCCCTGAAGTTGGTTCTTAGTCTGCCCTAAGCTACACTGTATTGCCAAATATATTTGCTCACCAGCCATGACTGACATATGAACTTAACACCTTTCAATGCTTAATCCTTAAGGTTCAATTTCCTGTCTGTTCATCATCTGCAGCTATAACAACCTAAACTCTTCTTGGGATGTTGCCTATAAGGCTTCAGGTTTTTTTTTTATAGGAATGTTTTGTTTTTTTTAAAAAAAAAGCATGTTATGAAGGGATAGACCTATTTTGGGGTTTACTCTAATTCAGCCCAAAGGTTTTCTGTCTGGCTGAGTTTGGGAAAATGTGCCACCACTGCTCTAAAGTCCCTCGCCACAGCATCCACTGCATTCCATGGACTTGATGATGTATGGCTTTGTTGCAACCTCTCAGCCATGAAAACTCTATGAAGCTCTCTATGCACCATTCCTTTGCTAATTTACTGACCTAACGAAAAATTGGAGATCTTTGAAAGCTGAAAGTTGACCAGCTCTGTGTGCAGATATGGCTATGTTGGCACAGTCCTTGCTCAGTCAGTTGATTTGGCCTACCATTTCATGGCTGTGCTGCCATAGTTCTTAATTGCATCTGCTTTGTTAGAATACTATTTAGTTGATAGTAGGATATTCAGGAGCACTGTACTTGTTGCACAAGTAGTACCCTATCACGTGGAGTTCACTGATCAATTGTTTCACAAACGTTTATTGAAAGAGTCTACATGGCTTGGTGCTTAATGTACCCCAACTGAATCAGTTCAATATGGAGGAGCAGTGGCTTTATTCCTTGATTCCCTAGATGTTTAATCTAATGATCTTATTTCTGAGACTGAACTCAGCCACCCTCAGAGGAAACTCATTTCAGTCACTTATGCAGGATCTGTTGTCAGTATGTGGCAAGGCATAATACACATCTTTAGATTATGTCCTTATAACGTAAAGAGATTATTATCATCCTGCCAAATTCACACTGAAATGCATGCTGAGGGTAATTGCTAGAAGGTTTAACAGAATCACATTGTCTAGAATGACCAAAGATGAGTCCTTGAAGTTCCCAAACCGGCCCCTTCCCTCTCTGCCGCAACGCCTTGAGCTCTTGTCCATGACACAATGAACAAAACCAGGGACAATTGGGTTGTCCGGGTGGATACCAATTACTCTGGAAAGGATAAGGATTGGATTTCTCTTGACACCATCCTTGGAGATCAAGGTTGTATGCCTTCTTCACATCCAGACAATCCATTTGGACTTGACTTCTTTCCAACACCCTTATGAAGTTTTTTCAACAGAGCCTCAGAGCTTGAAACCGGGAACCATTGCCCCATCATTTTGTGACAAAATGGTGCTAATCGAGTTTGCAATAGAGCTAAATTTAGCTCAAAGTCTAAGGGTGCGCCTTTTCCCTCTAAGCTTTTGTCTCCTCTGCTTTGGCTTCAACCCGGGCCCCCTCTCCAATCAAGGGTCTAGGACAACCCATTTGTTCCCCAGTTAGTGATGTCTGTGATTCAAAGACCTGAAAACTGTAATCTTTTCCACCACGATGACTGTCAGCCATAGTCACATTTACACTACCCTCTGACAACTGAACCATGCCAAGCCTGGATCAGCTTACCGTGCCGAGATCGCTTTCTTATGACCATCTACAAACTACTCTTACACGGTTCCTCTCTTCCTAGTGGCGATCTATGGTACCACTGCTCTGTAGAGGTAAACAAGCAAACCAACATGGCAGCTCCCATAACATTCAGGAACTTGGTGGAGAGTCAGGTGAAGAAGGTAGCCTTTGATGAATTTACTTGACAAAGTTGGATTTGGGAAGTGGATACGGCAAACGATAGTCTAATCAAGGCTTACAGACTCAGGATCGGGTTCATCACACTGCTAAACAGAATTATCACTGGAAGTCATGTGGCAAGGTAGGGAAGCTAGTTGTTTTATGAATGTCTGAAGTCTCATGATTACGAAGGCTGACTGTAAGGAGATGACAGGTCTGCTCATTCACTCTAGGTTATCTTAGAACTGAGTCAGAACTGAACAGTGCTGAGCCCTACTGATGAACTAGTACCATGTTATCACGGTTTGGTTGTGTCTGGCGGGGTCTGGTTCAGTTGTGCGTGCCATTTACACTCAACAGTTATCTCGGTTACCATGGTCAGACCGATCTTGGCACAGTTTCAAAAGGGTAGTGGAAATTAGGCTAAAGCGATCCTTCGCCATACTTAAAGGATGTAACCTAAACTTGTTTTTTTGGCCAGCTTTGTTTTCCTAGTTGTGGTTGTTTTAAACTTTAATTACCAATTTTCAGATGAGTGAACCAAAAATATCAGATGCAATGAAAACAATTTTTGTCTGTGAAATGTATTGTGAATGTCTTTCACCTCCTTACCTCCTTACACTGACTGTAGCCCCATGGCACATGTGTTACTGTATAACCATTTATCACTTTTTAACATGACGGGAGATATTTTCAGATTGTATTTCTTAGCAATAACAAAAAGATATTTATTTGTTTTTTTATCAAAAGGCTTTTTTTTTACGACTGTAACACGCGGTGCGAGTGCTTTTCACCTATGCGAATAAAATGTATTAAATCCATACACGACAAGGAGTCAGCCATTGACCTGCTGTGCACTGTTGGTTATCCTAGCTTCAGCTGGAAAATGTTTTCTGTGACATTTCTGGCTGAATAAAAGTTGTGTGGAAAAAAATTTGATGCTTGGTGTCTTCAATAAATTTGAAAGATGTAGAAATTCACAGAAAGACAATGAGTGCCACCAAGTTCATGATGTTGCCACAAGGTAACAGCATCGACATATTTTCTATAGACTCACTTTATTAGGTACACCATGCTAGTACCGGGTTTGGTACTTGCCTTCCGAACTGTCTTAATCTTTCATTGTACAGTGCAAAAAATATAAATCTAACTAAGTAATTTTTTCTTAAAATAAGTACTTTTGTTCTTGAATTGAGGGGGAAAGAGAGATACTTTGCCAATGTAACAAGACAATTTACATTTAAAAAAAAAAGAAAAAGGATTGCTTTGTCTCAAGTCTTGAAGTGTCTTCAAGTGCATATTATCTATTTAATTTTAAGAATAAAAATACTCATTCTATTGGCAAATCATCTTATTTACCTGCTCAAATTATGGGTAAATACACTTGATTTAAGACGTTTTTACTCATTTCTAGATCATTTTTGCAATGTATAGAATCAACAAGGTACTGGAAACATTCCTCAGAGTTCTTCCCCATTACTGATTTCCAAGTCAGCAGCTGCATCCTCGGAAGGCCCGTTTCGTCAGCCGATTACGTCATAGCGTGGCGCTACGGCCTGTTCAGATAGGAAGACTCTTTTTTATGCGGCCAACAAATCAGCCTTCTTTTTGCCTGTTTTGAAGGACGGATCCAGTATATCCTACTTAGCCTTAGGTATCCCATGATTCATTGCGAGTCCAAGCATGTCGGCTGTTCCATGCTCAGAGGACAAATGTAAAGGGCACCATACAGTGGTGAATATTGTAAATCTGTCCATCCATCCATTTTCTGTCATTTTTATCCCGGCTGGGGTTGCTAGGGGTGCTGGTGCCTATCTCCAGCTGTCTACGGCCGAGAGGCGGAGTACACCCTGGACAGGTCGCCCGTGAATAATATACCGTAAGTGCAGTTCAATATAATACAAGTATGTGAATAGTTCAGTCTGGATTTAATGAAAATTGTTTTTTAAATGGTTATTGAGTCAGATATGTTGTGTGTAATGTTTGTTCTATTGAAAGGTTTTATCGGTCCCTGCAAATGACTGAAATTTAAGCACAGATTCAAATATCTCTGCAGTGTGGGGACTAGAAATTAACCTGACTCCGCCAGATGGATTTGCTCCGCATATCCATCTGGAAACCTTCCGTTGAAGAAATTTTGGGAAGTGGCGAAAATACTGGTTAGCTGATTGGCCTATGTTGGTGATAGACGGGCCAAATAAACCAATCAGATCAACGAAGCATATGACGTACTAACAGAGCGACGACGAAGAGGAGCCAATTGATAGATCAAACTCTTGCCGAAACCAGTCGGGAGAAGAGCAAAAACATCTTTTCCTCTGAGAAAAGCCTTCAGAGCAGTGTTTTGCTATTCTTTCAGAGAAGAAATACTCTGTAATTCCGATCAAACTTGCTCGATAGCCACGCTAACGCTAGTTTCATCGGCTGAAGCCGCCATGTTCTTTAGACTGAACCGTCGCGCTTCTCGTTGCGTCACACCTCAACCCGCCTCAAAGCCAACGCTGATTGGACGTTTGTTTGGTGAACGGCTCCAAATTTTCTTTAACGGAGAGTCTCCAGACTGATTAGCGAGTGAAACCTTGAAAGCTCGCGAGATCAGGATGGTATTACGAGGCTAACTAGAAATCTGATATTCACGACAACGGTACTGCCGCTGAAGCTCCTCGAAAATGTTCTGTAATGCAGCAAAAAAAAAAAAAAAAATCCAGAAAAGGTTTTATAAAATTTATTGAGTGAATCATATAAAAAGATTTGATTTGACGATTTGTTGATGGAAAATGTGTCTTAAAGTGCAACAGTGATTCATAAAATTGGAAAAACAATCAAAAATAATTACAGTGCAAAAGAAAATCATTAAGATTACATAATAGTTAATATGCATAAAATAATATAAGCAAAGTGTGCAAAAATAAGAGATAACTGTGCTTAAAGCTGTTTGGATTGTAATAGCATCCATGTAGAGGTCCTAATGTTCCTAGTTAACCCAGAAGATCCAGTTCAGGGCTTAACACTGGTGGTAACTGGGTAACAGAAGGAGTCCTGATTGCAGATTCCAGCAGTTTGAAGTTCAGGCTGATCACAATCGAACAGAACCGACTGACGCTAACGAAGTCGCAGCACACGATGTTTACTCCGCCCCCTCCTGGGCCTGGACGTTGTTTTGCCGTCCAGTGGAGCAGCGGTGAGAGACCCTTGGTCGTCATCTTTCTCAGGTTTTCGAGGGGATGGAGGAGGACGTAGAGAATGTCTTCAGTCAGGTTCAGACCACTGACATAAAAACCATCTGGAAAAAGAAAATATGGTTTACACTAGTGCTTTTTACACTATAATTAAAAAGCTTAATGGTGCCTAAAAAAAAAAAAGATTTCATGGCGTCTAAAAAATGTTTGCAACAACTAATCCTCCCGGTTTCTTCAAACTGGGATAACGCTAAAGCTGCATACTTCAGGTAAGATACTGACTACTGATTAGCATCAAAAACTAAATTAAAATAAGTAAAAGTGGTAAAAAAAAAATTACATTTTGATGTAATTTAGTCTCCTCTAAAGTTTGAAGCTGCACTACCTGGCCTTCCATGGCGTTGCTGCTCCTCCAGATAAGATATGACTTTGTTTGGGTCTGGGCTGTCAGCGTACCTGCAAAAACAGCGCCCCCATGAGACCGGTCAGTCACAATGTTTAATCTGTGTGTTTCAAGCCTCAATTCTAATATCATAAGTTTGATTTTTTTATGTGTATTGCTACATGTAAAACACTGTTCCAATAAAAAATTGATTTATTGAATAATTTTTAACCAGGTTATGAAAATATTTTAAATTTAAAAACCCCCTGAAAGTTTTCAGCCAACATTTTTAAAATATCCAACCTGCTGCATCCCAAGGATTTAGGAAGGAAAGGAGCAGCTAGATGCTGGTAGTCAAGAGTGATTTTATCTCCATGCCAAGGAGGAAAGACATCAGCGAGAGTCTTTATGGAACCTGATTGTATTAATAACAGGAAAACAGCGTTAGAATAATAGAAAAAGATTCATATAGGGACAGTTTCAAGTCTGCCTTGAAACCAAAGTGGTAAGATACAATCACAAGTACTGGGGAAGCACAGTTGGAAATATAAAATGTCCCTTTAAGGGAGAGTAGAAAGTTACAGCAATGCCAAGTTGCAAAAACTAAACGGCAGAAAGCACCAAATCAAACTCTGCACACCTCTGCAAGTGGAATATTTAAAGAAAGTCGAAGCAGAAACCAAAACTTCAAACATTTGTGGAGTAAATCAGCAACTAGAACAAAGAAAGCTTAGCTGTCATGCAAACAGATGGAGGGAAGCGATATGAGCTTGCTTTGCAGCTACAGGACAGAGAACATTGTAGTCGCTAAGTCAACCATGAATTCCTCCTTTTACCAAAGTATTTTAGTCAGATAGTTGTTTTACTTCCTCTTCCTGCTCTGGAGATTAGTTTTTAAGTAAAACCTATTTTCAGGATTTCTTCTCAGTGAAGTATTGATTCTCTTTAGACCAGGTTTCCAGCTGGGTTTCATCATTGTTTAACAAACGATGTGCTTCAGTTTGTCCTGATTTCTTTTTTTTTTTTCTGGTTATGGACAACTAAGAGATCTGGTGGTAGGGGTGTAAATAATAATTGTTTTGTATCGATGCATCGATCCAACAGCCGACGATCCGATGCATCGACACGTCCGCAAGATAATCGATTCATGTTTTTTTTTT